TCAGTCCGCGAGAACCCATACAACAGCCTCCACTGGTGGACGCCAGATGAGGTGGCGATGTGGGAGAGCGGTCGCTGGTCAGATCAGCGGTATTCAGCTTGCTGTTTTGGAGGTGCCAGAGCGAAGCTGCAGAGGCTGCGCCACAACATCGCGGAGATCGCCCAATGGCCCAGAGCTGACTGCAACCATTTTCATGACCCACAGGAATGGGAACCTTGGGTGCAGGATGGTAAGCGCCATTTCCCTTCAGCTGAGGAGTCCGAGTATACAGCAGAGCTATGTTTTGCCATCGCCACGGCAGCATCGTGGTGGGCAGTGCGTGTTGGCCACGCCAAGCTCTATGTGCCGAGGTCCCCATCACCGAGCTGCACTGGCCATCGGGACCATTGGCTTGACCTCGATCCCAGAGCACTTCGTGAGTGGGCTATGACTCCACTAGCCATCAGCCTGGGTTTGAGACCCTTGGACACAGCTGAAGCAGCTAGGGTGCCCACGAGAGCATGTGTCGAGGATGTATTGCAACAGGGTGCACTCCCCCCCGGTCATGTGTATGTGGGGCTAGGTAGTCATACTCACCGCCTACCGACCACCAAGTGGAAGTCTCCATGGCAGGTGGGAGTGAATTGCACCCCTCAAGACTGGGTCCCCTACTACGTCCAATACATCAGGGAGACACTCTGGTGCGAGTTGGATGAGCTCGAGGGCTCAGTGCTGGTCTGTGATTGCCCAGCAGCCCAAACTTGCGAGGCTGACCTCCTCGCCGGGTTGATTTTTGATCGCTTGAGTGCGCAGGGCCCTCGGGGAGCCCCACAAGTGGTCCAAGGACAGCATGGCAGGAGTCACAAGGGAGTTACCCGAAGTGTCCTCTTGTCGAGTGTCGCGCAGGCTACAGGCATCCCTTTTGGGCCATTCTACATTCTGCAGGAGTCCTTGGCGTTAGCTTTCAAGAAGCTTTACCCGGGAGAGTGGTTCGAAGGAGTTGCCATCCCCTTCGTGGAGGACTTGGTGAACCAACACCCACTCGACCTGTATGTGCGATGGCGCCACCAGCAGGGGCTGGACATGGAGGGCAGCTGCAACCCCGTGTTGGCAGCCCCTTCAGTGCGGCAGAAGATGAGGACAGCAGAAGGTCAGCAGGTGGGAGCCATCAACCACAGAGCGGCGTTAGCCCCTCTTCTGCCCTTCCACCTTCAGCCAGACCAGCACTTCGAGCAAGCCCTTCAGCTCAGCATGCAACCTTTGCCTACTGAGGGGCTTCCCATTTTGGACGATGACCTGAGGTTTGCCGCATCTTTCTCCAGCCTGCCAGGAGTTGACCTGCGTAGGTTGCGAGAGCGCTCCATGGGCATCTTATCAGAGATGAAGAGGCGGTGGAGCTCGATCACGGCCCATTTGAGAGGCAAACAGACTGAGGCCATCCGGACAGCAACATTGCAACGCGATGTCGGTTTCACAGCAATTCTCCTTCTTGTGGCCAACTGGGGCGATGTGACACTGCCAGCAGGCCTGTGTATGGGGCTTCCAGCAGTGGGATATGCGCCGCCATATGGCATTTTTCCAGAACAAGTTGCCACCCGTCTGACGCGGGATGATGCACTCCAGGACTGGCAGAGCCACAACAACACCATTTTGGCTCGGCTCAAGCCAGGCGCCGATGATGAGTTTTTGTTGCAGCAAAGCCTCAAAGATGCCGAGAAGGGATTTTGTGGTTTGCCCATGACTGCAGAGGAGCTGCAGCGTTGTCTGGGTACGGAACCCTATCGGTTAATCCCTCGATGCGTCATCACACAATCCTCTGGGAAGCAAAGAGTGATTGACGACGCCTATATGTTGGCTTGCAATCTGAGCGATCCAGTGACGCGAACAAGCTCACCCTTTGCTCAGCGCTGCGGCCGGCCCAACACCTGCAGTATGCCTATGCCTTTGGGAGTCCACCCAACTGGGAGGCAGAAGAATGGGAGTCCGGTGGTGAGGATTGGCCAGATGCCTATCGTTTTTGCCCTATGAGTTGGGATGAGGCTTTGTGCTGCATTGTGGCCTTCTTTCATCATGAATGGCAACAGCCGGCGTTTATGATTTACACGGGTTTGCTTTTTGGTCTTCCTCTTGCGGTCACATCTTTCAATCGATACAGTCGTTTTGTGGAGGCTTTATCACGTCGATTTGCCTTTTGTTTGACAAGTTTGTATTTTGACGATGCTCACGTGACAGACCGCAAATCTTGCAGAGGATCAGGTCAGAGAGCTATGCAGACCCTCAACACCCTTTTGGGTACTCCCTTTTCCGAGGCGAAATGTCAGAAGATGCAGAATACCGGCACCTTCCTGGGCCTGGATCACGATTTCAGTCAAGTTCATTTGAAGGGTCTGGTTCAGTTTTGGGCCCGTGAGCGCATCGAGACCAAGTTGCTTCACCTCATGCAGACCGCCGAGGATTCCGGTAAGCTGCAACCAGGGGTGGCGGCCAAGCTCTATACGGTATCGCCAACTTCTTTGAGCTTGGCGTGTGGGGGCGCATTGGCTGCGGCGGCCTGGCCCCCATCAAGCGCAGACAGCAGGAGCGCTCCGCAGAGTTGACTGAGGAGTTGCGCCAATGCTTCGACCTTTTGCGCACTGTCATCACCACCCGTCCCTCTCGCCACATCGAGATCTGGCCACACGCAGGGCTCCGCTTCCTTGCCGCATCTGATGCTGCGTTGGAGAGCCCAGGTCAGGGTACAGGGGGCTTCTTGGTGGTTTGGCATGACGATCACCGGCAACATCGAGAGGCATTTGTTTCTCTCATTCCCCCATTGGTGTACAGCCTATGGGAGCCCGGTGACAAGAAGATTGCCCAGCTAGAGCTGCTGCAGGTTCTCTATGCTTTGTTTTCGCGGCCGTCCAGGTTTCGAGGTAGACGAGGTCTCTGGTTCATCGACAATGCAGCAGCGCTGATGGCATTGATTCGAGGTCGTTCTGACAATGCAGATTTAGAGCATATGTCTCGGTTGATTCACATTACCCTTTTTGGTCTTAAAGCTGGGTTTTTCTGGGAGTGGATCCCTAGTAAGGCCAACTGGTCAGATGAGATCAGCCGTGAAGGCCTCCAGGCAACATGGCACAAACGCCATGGGTTCACCACGCATTTTGCATTTTTCCCCTTCGAGATTTGGTCTCTACCACTTCCCGCGTTTCTCCGGGTTGTGGAGTTTCTCTGAGTGCTTTGGGATTGAAGTGCATTGGGAGAGATTCAACCTGTGTAGCCTCCTGAGTTTACAGGAGTGCGGAACAGGGTGTACGGATCCAACCAGTGCTGCTGTGCAGGAGACTACCTGCACAGCGTTCCAAAGCACTATCCTGCGAGGAGCAGGTTGAGACCGCACGAAGAGTTTGGGAAGAAAAAGCCATGCGGATGTGAGCCTGGACAGAGTGAACCATTTTGAGTATCTATGCTTTACATCTCACAACTAATGTATGTATGCATCGTGTTTGGCAGGCACTGGGTGTGCATTATCATTAGGGTGAGTATGTAAGCTGACGAATCCATTTTGGCTCAAGTCTGAGCCAAACTGGCTTCATCGTTCTTTCTTTTCCCTCCCTTCCCTCCCTATGAGGTAGGACTCCGGTGGAGTATCCTCCCTTGTAGGGGATCACATCATTGAGGATGCTGATCTCTACGTGGAGTTCCACGACTTGTAGCACTGGGCGGGAGAGATTCAACCTGTGTAGCCTCCTGAGTTTACAGGAGTGCGGAACAGGGTGTACGGATCCAACCAGTGCTGCTGTGCAGGAGACTACCTGCACAGCGTTCCAAAGCACTATCCTGCGAGGAGCAGGTTGAGACCGCACGAAGAGTTTGGGAAGAAAAAGCCATGCGGATGTGAGCCTGGATAGAGTGAACCATTTTGAGTATCTATGCTTTACATCTCACAACTAATGTATATATATATATATATGCACACTTATCTCTAGATACCTGTATATATATATATATATGTACTGTACATGTAAATCTGTATTTGTATCTGTGTATATACATGTAGTTCTGTGTATATAAATGAAATTATATAAACATTTATCTGAAAATGTGTATATACATATACATATCTCTATATATGTATGTGTATATATGTATAAATATGTATGTATATTAATGTATATATATATATAAATATAAATGTGTATATATATATATATGTAAATGTACATATATATATATAATAAATGCAAATATGTAAAAAATATTTAAAGAAACCAATTTATATGTATGTACCTTGCAATATCTAGTTTTTTATTTTTATTTTAAATATGTTGCATTATCTATGTATACATATACATATATATTTGGTTTTTGTAGATGTATGTTTTTATGTGTATATATATTTGGATAGGTATTTCTTTATACACACATTTATAATATGTATACATGTATATATGTATATATGTATATATTTATGTATGTATATATTTATATATGTATGAAATTATATATATATATGTATGAAATTATATATATATGTGCATACGCATATATGCATATAGTTGCATATATGTATCTAATTATATTTATATGTAAATATGTATGTAGAAAAAATGTAAATAGATTACGTGTATTTATGTAGATATTTGTTCTTGTATTTATTTTTCTTGGAAAAGGTAGATACGTATGGAAATTGTTTTTGATTCTACGTATGTATATATATATATATTTATTTTCGCTTGTTGTGTGTATTTAAGTGAATACATGTCTTTGTATATTTCAATAAATTGTTAGGTGCTTTATTGATCAATGTTTAAATAAATATATAGAGAAACATAAAACCAAATAAATGCACACATATATATATATACATACACGTGTTTGCATGCAAAATTCTCGTTTTGTTTCAATATTCAAAAACAACGAACTTTCTATGTCTCCAACGTGTACATACCAACACGGCACAAATACTCCCTTCCAACCTTTTGAAAAAAAATCAAATTTCCAGTGAACCCCAACCTTTCAAAAACGAATCTATCCAGGAGCCGGCGAAGACCTTGATCCAGGCCACTGAGGGCTGGCCGTTGCTGAACTATCTCTGCATGGCCAACTGCGTGCGCGTGGACTCGTCCTGGCTGGAGGTGGAGGAAATTGGCGTCTTGCCGGAGGTGCCAGGGTCAGCCAGAATGAGGTGGATTTCACCCACAAAATAGTATATATCAGCAGTATATACATATGTGTATATTGGATAATATGGGATAATATGTGGAACAAATCCGAATCACGTTCTTCTAGTTTCCGAATCCGCGCGTGACCTAATATGTGATAGATGGGTGCTTGCGCAACAAACAAGCAAAAATTGACCATGAAATAAATGGGGAATGCGGGATGCAAACAGCTAAGATCAACAACTAAGTCTTCACCAGCCATAAGAGTGGTGGTATAGCAAGAACAGAGTTTGGATGCCTGATTGCTCATTCAATGTTTATCAAACAACGGGGATGGCGGGTAACACACACACATGTATATATATATATATCATTAATATTTACCCATCAAGGGATCTAGGTAAAAGAGATAACCAACTAACACGCGATATATTGTCACACATATATAGGGACTTGCCCAGCCGTAAACACGGGACTTTAGTATCAAGTGGAATACAAGTGGGATCAATGAACAAGAGATGAGGATTTACCAGCAAAAAAGTAGGTGCATACTTGGCAAAAAGGCAACGGCAATGGGGATTTGAATGGCAATGACTACCGTACAGATTGAAAAAAACCACTGACAAAGATGAGGTATAATTGGGATTCTTAAAAGCTAAAATGGGGATATGATGGGGTTATTGATGGCGTACAACTGAGAATATGGGATAACATAGGATCAGATAACTACTTAACCAGCAGTGTGAATCTACCAATGAAAAAATAGAGAGCGAACTAGCCAGAAATGGGATATGCATCGGGTATCAACCAGCAATTGGGTACCTATTGCATTCTGCGCAAATTATGTTGCGACCTCATTAGGTGAGGTAAAGGAAGACCCACAAATGATGACTCCTTTTGATAACTGTAACTGTATGAAGATTTTACCAGCAAACTCTGAGGGTTGTTGATATTCTTTTTTAATCAGTTTGTTATTTTTTTGTGTTTTGCAGTGTTATTCACCCCGCTTCGCGTGGGGTGGCCGCCCACACCGCAGGTTTATTTCGGTCCGTGAGAGGGGCGAAGGGTGGTTTTCCCCCGTGGGGGCTCCCCAAGCTAAGAATTTTCACTTTCCCCCCCCGTGGGGGCTCCCCAAGCTAGGGAATTTCCCCTTTTCCCCCCCGTGGGGGCTCCCCAAGCTAGGGAATTTTCACTTTTCCCCCCCGTGGGGGCTCCCCAAGCTAGGGAATTTTCACTTTTCCCCCCCCGTGGGGGCTCCCCAAGCTAGGGAATTTTCACTTTTTCCCCCCGTGGGGGCTCCCCAAGCTAGGGAATTTTCACTTTCCCCCCCCGTGGGGGCTTCCCAAGCTAGGGAATTTTCACTTTTCCCCGCCGTGACAGCTTCCCAAGCTATGGAATTTTCACTTTTTCCTCCATTGGAGGCTCTCCAAGCTGCGGAATTTCAAATAGCTAGACAACGACGCCTAGATAGTCCCCCAAATCCCGTGTTCTTTGAATGTGTTTCCATGTTTTTGCAATGGTTTCCTTCAAAGCACGGTACTTTACACTTTTGTCGCCATAAAACCGGTCGAAAACATCATGTTCGACAATGCTTCCAATTCCCTTATCTCCCCAACCGTTGAAAATACCGCTATTTACAGTGTTTTCTTCAATTTTTCCATGTTCCAATGCCGGTAGCCAACTCCAACATATATATAAGAAATCCTTCCAAAACATTGTTTTTGACAGTGTTTTTCCAATGTTTCCAGTCAAACAGACGGTAATTTACACGTTTTTTGCCATAAAGGCAGTAAATCCTTCCAAAACATTGCTTTTGACAGTGTTTTTGTAATGTTTCCAGTCAAGCATACGGTAATTTACACGTTTTTTTGCTATAACGTCAGTCCAAAACACTTGTTTTTGCAGTGTTTTCAATGCTCTGGCATCCAAAAACCCTGCAAAATCTTGCTATGTACAATGTTTTTTTCATTTTTGGCCGTTTTTCCATTGCCGGAAAGCGACCAAAATGACCCAAAATTCCATCTCAATACCCTCTTGCGCTCAGACACCCAAAAATCCTCGAAAAATGTCGAAAACACCACCGTATTCTGGTCTCGGTGCGAAACCGTTTTTGGCCCCCCCCCCCACTAAAGCTGATATAGCGACTGCTATATTAACAAATGTCATTGAGCATTTAGTGTTGCTGTTTTGCCCCCCAATAAGCACGCCTTCACCGCCAAAGCGGTGTGGGCGGATTTTTTGTTATTTTGTTGTCACATGCGTTGGAATTTTGTTGCATTTTTTTTAACAGTTTGTTTGTCATTTTTTTGTCATTTTCTTGTCGTTTTCTCATCCAACGCGGGTGGCTGGATCCGGAACCATTTTTTGTCATGTTTTTTCATATTTTTTGGTGTTTTTGTCATGTTTTTGCACTTCCCAGACCAGGAGTCATTTTTTCAGTATATTTTTTTGCATTTTCCATTCCCAAAATGACAAATAAATGACAAATAAATGACAAATAAATGACAAATAAATGGCAAATACATGACAACAACATGACAACAACATGACAACAAAACGACAAAACATGCCAATAAAATGACAACGCAAATCCAACATGACAAACCTGAATGACAAAAATGACCACAAACCGACCGAAAACATATTTTCGAATTTCCAGTGTTTGCATGCCCTAGATTTTCTGAATGGTAGTAATTTGCGTGAGATCATTTATGATGTTTCATAGCAAAAATGGCAATCTGCGATTTGGTCTTACATTTTGACCCATACCGGCGTATGCATGCCAAATAAACCAAAAGACATTGATGCTAGATACCGGGTTCCTTCATGAGGATAGAATTTATGCCTTTGGTAGCTGACATGTATTGGAACACTCCCAAATCTAGTGGGTTTCAAAACCATTTCCCCATTCAATTGCCATGTGTGTCACAAAAATTTTGCAAAATAAGAACGGTATTTGTTGGGATGTCGGAATAGACTATGTTGTCATATCGGACGATCCAAAGGATTTCTGGGCATTGAAGTCCGACCAAAGAAGGGGTTTTGACGATCAGAAATTGTGACGTCACCAACGAAAAGGAGATATTTGCCAAGAATGATGGGGATGTCATGGGATATTACTTTGTGCGATAGGATTACGAACTTGGGATCATACGGGATAGATGGTTTTGTTCAAAAATGCGGGATTTACAGTCTATTGCCATCTTAGTCAGGACACCTGTTTTTGTACCCATGGGATGGGGATCCCATTTTCACTTGACAATTGGACATCACTTGTCCAACTCTTGGTGACCGGAACTATGAAATGATAGAACCCCTGCAGGTGCTGGCCCGGAACTGCCCAAAGTTGCAGGAGTTCGTGGTATATGATGATGACATGAGGCTGGGTGGAGGGGGCACCACTTTTTTTCCTGGGGGAACCAAATTTGAGGGATAGAAAACACCCGATAGAAAACACCAATGTCATATATACACATTTGATTGTCCCAAAATGGGGTACGCCTAAACCCCGATGGTTTATCATCAGTTTCCCTACTTGCATTTTTGGGTATACCTACTTCTATTGGACAAATCCAAATCAGTGAGATGATCCCTGAAACAGGAAAGATTATCCCAGATATGAGGACGTCATTGCTAAAACTGGTTGTCTGTCGGTGGGGCAGAAACAGTGGCCAAATGCTTGTAACACAAGTGGGGAACGGTGGGCGGGTGTAGTTGGGACTTTGTTCAAGTTTGATCGCCTGTTCAAGTTTCACCAACAATTAAACAACTAGCAACAGGCGTCAAAGTAAGTAGCCGTGGTAGACAATGTTTGGCTGGAAGGTCATACCAACTCTTGGTGAAACATCGTATTTGGGTCTTGCCTCAGTTGGTCGTTTGCCGAACTCAAAAATGTACAAACCAACACTGACCCTCTGGACTAACATGGCCAGAGCACCCAAAATGCCTTGCAAAAGAACGCCCAAATAAACTTTAAACTCTGACCAATTCTTTGGTTTGCAAAGCTGGCCTCTCAGGACCTTAAACATTCGCTATAATTGTATTTGATCCTGAAGGATGCGAACCCAAGAGGTAGAAACAATTCCTGAGAGGCTTTTCGAGAGATGCAAGAGTTGTGGAACAGTGCGAGTTTTTCATCACTGTGAATTCAGTAGGAAGTTCATAATGAGCATTTCATTTCGGATCCCTGGATTTGATTGCGGGGCTTCGAGGGCTTTGTTCGAGCCCGTTTTGGACCGTGAATGCTGTCTCTATGGGAACCTCTTGGACTACGATGAAACCGAGTACGAGGACGAAGAATGAACTCAGCCGGGTTAGCGCTCCGAACTGGCAAAGAGACGCCCTTGTGCACAACGGGGGGGGGTTGTAGCAACATCATTCCTTACCAACTAATGTTGAAAACCCAATGCCATAAACCTACCATGACTTGGGATGGTTTACAGCACCACTTTATGGTGATTTTGGGGATGGTTTAATTGTCGGGCACACTATTGTCAACTGAGCATGAATCAAAGTTTTTCACCCCCCAAAATGGATGGTTCAATTCGAGAAAAACGATCAATTTGTGGGTCAATTAGTAGATCGGTTTTGATTCAAAACCACATGACAGCCACAAAGTTATGATTTTGTATCCATTGGGCATCTTGAGGAACCTCAGAGCCATCGCAGGACTGAAGATGGATGTTAGGACGGAATATTGGTGGATTTCCACCGCATCCTCCGAGCCAGGTCTCTGACCCGAAAGCCCAACTGACCGCCCAACTGACGACATTTGGTCGTTTTTTTCGTAGTCCTTTTCCCCCAGTTTTAGATCCCCTCTGGTAAACTAACAGTTTGCTATGGAAAACCACCATTTTTAATAGGTAAATCCACTATTTCTATGGCCATTTTCAATAGCTATATGTTAAATTAGAGGGTACCCTCCATAGACCCAGTTTTTGAATCCACGGTCGCTCTGGGGGGATGGGATTATATGGAACTCTCTTGGATCGCCGAGGGCCTGCGTTCCGGAATGGCATGCGAGGCGCAGACAAGCAGATAAGATGAACATATGAACACTATTTTAATCTGCTTGTCATTATAATGTGAACATTAATCATATATCACATTTTGAACACTATTTTAATCATTTTTAATCTAATTATATGGGTTTTGTCACATTTTGTCACATACAAAACATATATCCCGATATGGACATTTGGGGGACGATTGACCATGAAATTTTGGGGTACCTTTCAGACAAAGCGTATATTTCAAGGCCATCGTTTACTGGGCACCAAGTTATCCCCCAAGTTATTGGTCCCCAGCTGCCGCTTTCATATCGCAGGTTTACAAATTAAAAATCACGGCAAAATAGACATCCAAAATCATCCATGGAAATTCCAGAGATGTACGAAGATCTCCAAATATATCCAGATACATCCAATTAATCCATATGATTGATGCTTTTTTTTGTTGCGAAATTTTCACAGACATGTACCCTCTGGTAATTTAACATAGATAAAATCAGAGCTTCGAATGGACCATGAATTGCCAGGTTGAGGGATGGACGAACCATCCGTCAAGGCTGGAACAAATGGGGGAGACCCATGAATTCTATGGATGGTTTATGTCATGGAAAATCCGAAACATGGATGGTTTAGGGCTACCCCTCCTATGGATTGGAAACCTCCATAATATAATTGTAATATATAATAGAATATAACTTAACATAATATAACACAATAATACATAATATAATATAATATACTATAACATAATATAATATAATACAATATAATATAATATAATCTAATATAATATACAATAACAGAATATAGTGTACTCCAACATAATATAATATAATATACTATAACACAATATAATATAATACAATATAATATAATAGAATATAATATAATACAATATAATATAACACAATATAATATACAATAACATAATATACTATAACATTTTATAAAATAATATAATACAATATAATATAATACGATATAATATAATATAATATGATATAATACAATATAATATAACATAACATAATATAATATGATATAATATAATATAATATGATATAATATAATATAATACAATATATATACATAATATATTGTCTATTATATATTGTATATTATATATTGTATATTATATATTATATATTATATATTACATATTATATTATATATTATATATTATATATTATATATTATATATTATATATTACATATTATATTATATATTATATATTATATATTATATATAATATATTATATATTATATATTATATATTATATATTATATATTATATATTATATATTATATATTGTATATTGTATATTGTATATTATATATTGTATATTATATATTATATATTTTATATTATATATTACATATTATATATTATATATTATATTTTATATATTATATTTGTATATGATATATGATATACATTATACTATATGTTATACATTATATATTATATATTATATTATTAATAGACAATATATACGTATATAGAAACTATGGTTGTATACATATCATGTATTATATTCGATGTTGAATCCGGTGGTTCATGATTAATCATCAACCAATCGCCATTGCCAGGTCAGAAGCCCAATGAGGAGCTGCCTCGAGAGGTTCCAAACTTTCAAGAGGAAGAGAGGCAGGACCCTGGCTACCGAAAACTAGCATGAAACCTTCAAATAATGGACTTGGAAGATGATCTTTCTGTTAAAATTGTTCAAATTACCCAATTTTGTGGTTCCATGTTCGTCTTCAGGTGTGGTGTTGCTCTTTTGGGTGGTTGGACATTGCCTTTTGGATCGCCTTCAAATCACTGGATTTGGCACCCAGAGCACCTGACATCAAGTTTTGGACCCTGCGCTGACTGAGCCACTTACATTTCTAAGAAACTAAGTGTAAGCCGAAAAGTCCAGTGGTTAGAAGGGAGCGATTAGGAGCTGTGGGTATCCATATTCTCATTCTCTATGAAATTAGGAGCCAGTTGGAGCTGCAATCAGACTTTCCCAGCCATTTGATACCCCAACTTCCAGTTTTTACTTTGCATTTTCCCAACGTGGGACCCCAAAGCCTTGCAGGTCGCCGGGCCCAGAATTGAGGTCACAGCTCCCGAGACATAGGCGGCGAGATCTGTCATTTTGTGGGGATGTTTTGGCAGTGGGAAGATGTCCACTACACGAAATGGCACAACGAAAATAAAAACTATGGCTTTTACATGGTTTTTACGATGATATCTTTTTAAAGGATCTCTTGAGAATCAAAAGATAACGGTCCATATGCTGTATCCATGGCCGGTATGTCCTGGATTCATGATCCGCTCCGTCGTTTGCCGCGCCAGGCGTTACATGCTTTCCGGTGAAGTCGGGGAGGAGCGGGACGGATGAAAGAGACGATCAATGATTCAGCGTATGCAGATGAATGAAGATTCATATCATCAAATAGGATCATTTCTGAATATTTTCATGAAGAAAGATGGTTTTAGATGGTTTTGCTCTATTTTCATGAAGAATCGAGAAATTCCAGACCAGGTGTGGAGACGCCTGCCAGGGGTTGATGACCATCACCGAAGTCACCAGCAGTCGAGAATCTCCACCCACCCAGGAGCGGGTGAGGAGACCCAGGGATCATCGGAGAAAAGTGACAGAAGTTGTCGGGAAGATGATGGGAAGATGATGGGAAGATGATGGGAAGATGACGGGAAGTTGACGGGAAGATGATGGGAAGATGATGGGAAGATGATGGGAAGATGATGGGAAGATGATGGGAAGATGATGGGAAGATGATGGGAAGATGATGGGAAGATGATGGGAAGATGATGGGAAGATGATGGGAAGATGATGGGAAGATGATGGGAAGATGATGAGAAGATGATGGGAAGATGATGGGAAGATGATGGGAAGATGATGGGAAGATGATGAGAAGATGATGGGAAGATGATGGGAAGATGATGGGAAGATGATGGGAAGATGATGGGAAGATGACGGGAAGTGGGGAAGATGATGGGAAGATGATGGGAAGATGATGGGAAGATGATGGGAAGATGATGGGAAGATGATGGGAAGATGATGGGAAGATGATGGGAAGATGATGGGAAGATGATGGGAAGATGATGGGAAGATGATGGGAAGATGATGGGAAGATGATGAGAAGATGATGGGAAGATGATGGGAAGATGATGGGAAGATGATGGGAAGATGATGAGAAGATGATGGGAAGATGATGGGAAGATGATGGGAAGATGATGGGAAGATGATGGGAAGATGATGGGAAGATGATGGGAAGATGATGGGAAGATGATGGGAAGATGATGGGAAGATGATGAGAAGATGATGGGAAGATGATGGGAAGATGATGGGAAGATGATGGGAAGATGATGAGAAGATGATGGGAAGATGATGGGAAGATGATGGGAAGATGATGGGAAGATGATGAGAAGATGATGGGAAGATGATGGGAAGATGATGGAAGATGATGGGAAGATGATGAGAAGATGATGGGAAGATGATGGGAAGATGATGGGAAGATGATGGGAAGATGATGGGAAGATGATGAGAAGATGATGGGAAGATGATGGGAAGATGATGGGAAGATGATGGGAAGATGATGGGAAGATGATGGGAAGATGATGGGAAGATGATGGGAAGATGATGAGAAGATGATGGGAAGATGATGGGAAGATGATGGAAGATGATGGGAAGATGATGAGAAGATGATGGGAAGATGATGGGAAGATGATGGGAAGATGATGGGAAGATGATGGGAAGATGATGGGAAGATGATGGGAAGATGATGGGAAGATGATGGGAAGAAGATGATGGGAAGATGATGGGAAGATGATGGGAAGATGATGAGAAGATGATGGGAAGATGATGGAAGATGATGGGAAGATGATGGGAAGATGATGGGAAGATGATGGGAAGATGATGGGAAGATGATGAGAAGATGATGGGAAGATGATGGGAAGATGATGGGAAGATGATGGGAAGATGATGGGAAGATGATGGGAAGATGATGGGAAGATGATGGGAAGATGATGGGAAGATGATGGGAAGATGATGGGAAGATGACGGGAAGTTGACGGGAAGATGATGGGAAGATGATGGGAAGATGATGGGAAGATGATGGGAAGATGATGGGAAGATGATGGGAAGATGATGGGAAGATGATGGGAAGATGATGGGAAGATGATGGGAAGATGATGGGAAGATGATGGGAAGATGATGGAAGATGATGGGAAGATGATGGGAAGATGATGGGAAGATGATGGGAAGATGATGGGAAGATGATGGGAAGATGATGGGAAGATGATGGGAAGATGATGGGAAGATGATGATGATGGGAAGATGATGGGAAGATGATGGGAAGATGATGGGAAGATGATGGGAAGATGATGGGAAGATGATGGGAAGATGATGGGAAGATGATGGGAAGATGATGGGAAGATGATGGGAAGATGATGGGAAGATGATGGGAAGATGATGGGAAGATGATGGGAAGATGATGGGAAGATTATGGGAAGATGATGGGAAGATGATGGGAAGATGATGGGAAGATGATGGGAAGATGATGGGAAGATGATGGGAAGATGATGGGAAGATGATGGGAAGATGATGGGAAGATGATGGGAAGATGATGGGAAGATGATGATCAATGAGGTTGTTCTTACTTTTGAGTCTGAATCCAAGGGTTAACCAAATATGTGGATTCTCCCTTGAATATGGTGATGGGCGAATCGATCTGTAGACTTTCAACGTCATTCTTGCCAAAAGATCGAGCATCATTTATTATGGGTTTTGGTTGGAAAGGTCGACCACATATCTAGGATCTTTTTTGGGATGTAAATGATGAAACATCAAAAACATGCACGAATCCAATATGAATGCAATACCTGAGCTCCCGGAATTGGATGAGTGGAACAACCAGCATCTCCAGGGGAGTTCAAAGGGAAAATCGACTGGTGAAATTAACTCGTAGGTACGCTAAATGTCTATATCTACCCAACGAGTTTTGTGTCTTTGTTGCTGGCGCTGGCGTTGGCCAACCAAGCCATCACTCGAACGGCGGGTCCACTGGGTCCACTGAATGGATTTGGAAGAGCGAATCCCTGAAAAAGTACAAGAAGAGCCAAGCATATGTCTATTAAGTCCTTGGATTAATCTTTTCCCAACTATGATTCAACTGAATGTGGTTTGGTATCCATCATTGACCGTCATGTACTAATGGGTTTTCCAGTACAACCCATCTCGCTTAAGCGCATTTTCGGGAGAGACAACATACCCTTGGAACAGTGGCAGGTGGATACTCCACCACCTGATGCTGATGAACCGGCTCGCAGCATTCCCAGCATTCCCAGGCGGCGATTTCACCACCCCAAAAAGAGGGGATACAACATAGGTATACAGGCTATAGGTATACCCACAATCCCTAGGCTTCGCTGTCGGTAAACACCGGACTTTCGTCGTCGCATTTTGCGCTGCGCAAGGGTCGATGTGATCGTTTTACCTGTGTTTTGTGGGGCGCAATAGACGTTGCCGCATTGTTGTCGAACCGCATGACGTTTTTTTTGCATTTTAGTCACGAATTCGGTCGTTTTCTTTTTTTGGTCTTTTTCGCTGTGTAGCAACGCTACATGAGTGACGTCTTGGGGTTGCGGGTTGGGTTGGGTGGGGTGGGCTAATACCATTCACTCGTGTGCGATCATTCAAATGATTTTTTGGCTATAAAGGAAGGTCCAACATGCTTAGCCGAAAAGCAATACTGGGTCCACAACCCCTAAGTGAAAAAGAACTGATGCGCTTGCTTCTTGGAACGAATTTGATACCATTGACTTACATGGCACGTCGTCAGGCGACGGCTAACGTCAGTGTTCTGCGTAGGTATGTAGGTATATAATGGTATATAGGCATATATATAGGTACTGTATATATATATATATAGATAGTCATAGGGGTATATAGGTTTGTAGGTTTATAGGCGTATGTAGGCGCATATAGACGTATGTAGGCGTATGTAAGCGTTTATAGGCGTATATAGGCCTATAAAGGCGTATACAGGTGTATAATATATATATATATATGTATAGGTATGTATATATATATAGGTATGTATATATCTATATAGGTATGTATGTATATATATATATGTATATATATATAGAGGTATGTGGTATATATAGGTATAGGGAGGTAGAGGTAGGTTTTCGGGAGGTATAGGGAAGTATATAGGTATCAAGGTATATGGGCATATCATACCAAGCAATGAGTTTACATGGTGGTTTCGATTTTGTCTTGGTTTCCGTGGAATGATGATTACCATTAGGGCATAGGCAACAGGTAGACTATATAGTCATTTTTTCAAACCCACAACCATCCCATTTGCCTGCGGGACCTCCATTTTTTTCTGGTTGAACCATTCTCAATTTGCAGCGGCTTGTATGCTTAGATCCAAATTTTTGCTTGCTACAAGACATGCGTAAATTCCAATTTTTGACTGGTTCAAACTATTGGTGCGTAAAGTTGCTGGTATTTCACCATATTTACTGTTTTTTCATGTTAAACACCATTCTTTGGCTAAACCATCCCATTTTGGTGGTTATATAAGTTATATCCAAAATTTGTTGTTGATTCAGCTGTCCCATTTGGTGGAACAAATCTTCCCATTCTGAAGCATCATCCCGCAGCGGCAGGCTGAGCTGGGACAGAGAGAATCCAGGTGACTCTGTCGGTTATCCACCGGTTATCCACCCATATTTTGATGGTTTATAACGGTTATAACGGCCACACACATGGGAACATTGGGGGATCCTATTACTAGAAATCCTTAGGCTGGTGGCCGGAGCATGGAAACCACTTCATTATTGAATATTTATTGGTGGGATGGGGGGTTGATCGGGTTGATCAGATGATTCTGTCTCATCTGGCTGGACCCTAGTCATTGGACAACATACAACGATCCTGCTGCCAGTGTATTTCACCCCACTTATACAACGGATTGTATCTACCCTAGTCACTGAGGGGATTTTCAATGCCATTTATGACTGGCAGCAGGGCCTGTCACTGTATTTCAATTGATCCCTGAATTGTTTACTGGTCTAAAGGAACATTTGCAGGAAACTCGAAATGAGGGTTACTGCAACCTTACATAGCTAAAACTACCACAAGAGGGTGAAGTTGTTTGGAACAAAGCATATTTTGACCATATCTGGCCCAAAGTCCCACTTGTTGCTCGGGGGAGCAACCTTGACTAAATCTGGATGGAGATGGATCAAAACCTACCAATATTGGGGATATCCAGAACAACCAGCTATATATTTGGGGGTTCAGGAGATGATCCAACGCCTCCACCGGCTGGATGCTCAGAACGACCTGGGATGACGATTCCAACTGACTTTCGTAGTTTTTTGGAGAGGGTTGGAACCAAGAACTAGATCATGAACCGGAAGACATACGATGATCCCAGGGGCTCCAATTTCTGGGGTCAAACTTTCAAGTCCGAAGGAAGCATCCACATTTTTGGCGCTGATGGGCTGAAGAATAGCTCAACACTTCCATGGTTTGCTCCATAGACAAGGCCATAGTGGGCGTGATTCCATATCATCGTACCGTTCAGGAGAGGTAGGGATTTTCGAGGGAACGCCCAGTCCAATGGGGGATGCGCGTTGCGCCATCGTTCTCTGCAAAAAAAATAACATGTGGTTTAGGGATCCGTCTTCCAATTTAGAGACGGCCCGCCACAGGGCCAACTCGCAGCACATGCTTGGGATGATGATTGCAACATTGAAGAAACCATTTGGCAGGTGAAACATTGTGGACCCATCAAAAACCTACCTAAAAGCCATGGTCTCTTCAAGTTTCGGAAAGCAGCTGGCGTTTAATCGCAAGAAACATCGGCATTTTTCCCAGACTGTCAATGTGTGGATTCAAAAGTGCCCTCCGAAGACCATGACCTGGGTGGCGGGTGGTGGTCTTTCATTGCCATTTTGTTTTTTCCCTGAATTGACGAATCATATGATATTGGGTATATCCCCAATTTATCATCCATCATATCCCCAATATATCATCCATTTCGGCGATATTTTTGGTCATCATCCAAGTCGGAGATAGTTTTTTTCGTGAGGACACCCAAGCCGGCTTTAAAGGCTTCCTGAAGCTGAGGCTGGTTATCGAAGGACCAAAATTTTCGATGTGGTAAAGCCAAGAAGACTCACCACCCCCATTTACCACATTTTCCAAACTTAGGGGGCATCAAACAACACGCACTAAAATTGGGTTTGCAAAATTGGTTCTACCATGTAGACAATCTAAGCCGGGAATGCAAAATCACCATTTGTCATTCATTTACAGACAAGCTTCCCATGTTTGATTACCAAAGAATGGATATCTCAATTGAAGTGAGTTGAGGCCTAGTTGTTTTTCATTGTTTTCACTTTTAACCCTTTTCCGGATCCAAAGCTCGATCACGGAGCTTGACTTGGTGGTTTGAGAAGAGTCCTGGCGCGAGGCAAGGGGACGAGCTGAAATTGGCACATCCAGAAGTCAAGGGACGGGATGTGCGGAGCTCAGTTGGGAAAGGGACAGGGTGCTAGGCTCCAAAATTTCTCCTCGGATTTTGCTTTGTTTGGCTCATTCTATGGGAACTCATCGACCCACGAAGCAGATCGAAATAGATGTTTTTTTTGGAATTTAAGCATCCATAAATGGGAAGTGCAGGTAAGATTCGGATGCCACCTGCGACAATGAGACCATTTCAGCCTCACATTTGTGCCGAGGAAGCTGCAATTTGCGGTCAACGTTCAGTAACTTTGGTAAGTAACCAGTTTTGAACCTTGGGTTCAGTGACTTTGGGGGGTTCAGTAACCCGTTTTGGCATCACCTATTTTTGTGAACCGAAAAATGACCCATGATCCACTGGCTTCACCCGCAGGGGGAGTACTACTTCTATGGAAAGAAGGTTCAGGACGCATCTCAGGGCTGGTTCCCAGTTCCTTGTTTGGAAGCCTCCGAGGGTGTCCCTGGCATGTCTTTGCTGCGGCATGTCATTGCGGCGTGAAGGCAAGCCTCCAAAAGAGGACCACAGACGATGATGATTTTGAGAGATGTTGGCTACATGTAGTGGAATGGGATATTAATGGGATATCATGGGAGATATTGGGATATGATTCATATGATTATATGATTATATGATTATATTATTATAAGATTATATGATTATATGGTGATATGGTTATATGATTATATGTGTATACATATATACATATGTACATATGTACATATGTATAAATGTATATGTACATATGCACATATGTATATATATATATATATGTATATATATATATGTATGCATATATATGTATGTATGTATGTATGTATATATATATATGTATATATATATATGTATAGATGTAAATATGGATATACAATATCAATATACAATATACAATTTATATGTATATATGTATATACAATATATATATATATACATACATACACACATATATATATACATATAACATATATACATACATATGTAAAAATACATATATATATACATACATATATATATGTATGTATATGTATATATACATATGTATATATATGGTCCCGTCCTCCGTCTCTCCACCCACCCCCCCAATGGGTTGGGTCCCCAGGTAGCAACCCCACTTCCCTTCTATTTGCAAGCTATTGGCAGCAGTTCTGATGTCCAGCTTCGTATTTGCTAGGTCTTTGCAGCATTTCTGACTACCAGCCTCGCATTTACTATGTCCATGCTACCTTTTAGGCGACTTACGCAGCACACATACTCCCTCAAAGTACCTACGTGCTACCTGTAGTCATATATACATGTGATATGTATCTACTTCCTATTTACTACCTGTGTACTCTGACAACACTACATGTGTTGAACATATACCGTACCTACCATACATTCCAATGATGCCATGCATACCATACCTATCATACCTATCATACATACCACACATACCATACATATGAAACAAATTACCACACCTACCATACATACAATAGCAAACATACATGCCATACATACCATACCTTACATAGGAAACATTCCATACCCATCATAGTAACCATAAACATACCATACAGACCATACATACTGTCATATCAAACGTACCATACCCAACAGACTTACATACCATACCTACCATCCATACAATACCAACCATTCATGCCATACATACCATACCTACCATACATACCATACTTTCCAAACATGCCATGCCAGACCGACCATACACACCATACATACCCAACATACCATACCACACCCCCACCACACCACAGGGGGGGGAAGGGGACAGTGCCACACCCCACCACACCACAGGGGGGAGGGGGAAGATCTCATATGGGGCTGTGTGAAAAAGCTGCTCTGTGCAAAGGCTTCCCTGTGTAAAAGGCTTTTGTGTAAAAGCTGCTCTGTGTGTAAAAGCTGCTTTGTGCAAAGGTTTCCCTGTGTGAAAGGTTCTGTGTGTAAAAGCTCCTGTATGTAAAGCGTCTGAGTGTAAAGGCTTCTCTGTGTAAAAGCTTCTGTGTGTAAGAGCGTCTGTGTGTAAAAGCTGCTCTGTGCAAAGACTTCCCTGTGTAGAAGAATCTGTTTGTAAAAGCGTCTGTGTGTAGAAGCATCTGTGTGTAAAAGGCTTCTGTGTAAAAGCTTCTGTGTGTAAAGGCTTTTCTGTGTAAATACTTGTGTGTGTAAGAGCTGTCTTGTGCAAGGGCTTCCCTGTGTAAAAGCTTCCCTGTGTAAAAGCTTCTGTGTGTAAAAGCTGCTGTTTGTGTAAAGGCTGCTCTGTGTGTAAAAAGTGTCTGTGTGTAAAAGCTGCTTTGAACAAAGGCTTTCCTGTGTAAAAGCTTCTGTACGTAAAAGCGTCTCTGTGTAAAGGCTTCTCTGTGTAAAAGCTTCTGTGTGTAAAAGTTGCTCTGTGTGTAAAAGCGTCTGTGTGTAAAAGCTGCTCTGTGCAAAGGCTTCCCTGTGTAAAAGCTTCTGTGTGCAAAAGTGACTGTGTGTAACAGTGTCTGTGTGTAAAGTGTAAAGGCTTCTCTGTGTAAAAGCTTCTGTGTGTAAAAACTGCTCTGTGTGGAAAAGCGTCTGTGTCTAAAAGCTTCTTTGTGTAAAAGTTGCTCTGTGTAAAAGCTTCTGTGTGTAAAGCGCCTGTGTGTGAAAGGTGTTCTGTGTAAGGGCTTCCCTGCGTAAAAGCTTCGGTGTACAAAAGCTGCTCTGTGTAAAGGCTTCTTTGTGTAAAAGCTTCTGTCTGTCTGGCTACCTTTCTATCTGTCTATCTGAGTCTATCTATTTACTTGGTGTAAAAGTTGCTCTGTGTAAAGCCTTCCCTGTGTAAAGTCTGTCCGTCTGTCTGTCTGTCTGTCTACCTTTCTATCTATCCATCTGTCCGTCTATCTATCCATCCATCCACCTACCTCTTTCCCACCCAATCATCATCTGCTCCCACCATCCCAAGGCACCACCTTCGTCTCATAACAATTGGAAGATATCGGAAGGCTTAACGTGTGGGGTTGTCTGGTCCTTTAATTAGTATTATTGGTGTTATTGTTATATCAAATGCAAATCACAATGCATATTCACATGGCCCATATATCATCACATATATCGTCATGATTCTCATTATTTCTCCCATAGCTCTCGACAACGTACCATGAATTCTTCATTATCCACGAACAGATCCATATCATGAAAAGATATAGTAATCCTCAAAAGATAGAAAAGATATTTCCCGCTATATAAAATAGTAATAAAATGTTCCTTGTCTATCTTTTTGGGTGTTACTACAAGTACTACCATTATTACATTATTATCACAACATCCATTATTCACTAGGGCATTATATATATGTGTGATATATCCAGCGTATACAGTGACTACTGGAGTTGTAATTACTAACATATAAACGAGTTTTCGGATTCATTCCTACAATCCACTTCCTATAGGCACAATTCCCACAACATACTTCATCTCCAATATTATTCAATATATTCATCTAACAAGAACACCACAATTACTATCTCATAATCTTTATTTATGAATCCAATTGGAAGTGTAACCGCTGTCAATTGTCATAGCTGAGTACTGACCCGTATGATGTTACTATGATCATGATTTCAACCTTATTATCATGAATACTCCTGTAACAGGATGATATTACTCCTCATCATAGATATTTCAAGGTATATATTATGATATTGACGGTCATATGTATGATGTAGAACTATGAAAAATACCTTGTGACAAGTGTATGAAAGTAATATGATAATGAGATACCCTTTTGATATGATTATCAAATACCTATATCATTTGTATGGCGACAAAATTATACGAGTGACCTCGACCAAGCAAGCGACCGGTGACCTGTCCAGGTGACCTTGGTGACCTCGAGGATGGGTTTTGGGCTAGCTCAGATATAGTTATAGCAGTTATAGAATGTTATAGATATAGTTTTACCAATCCAACATTTTAGCTGATAGCTATAGTCATGTAGATGATATATATATATGTATATACGGATATAGATAGAACTGATATAACTATATGTCGATCGAGATTAACTACATCTACAGTATCCCGTCTCACTATCTATTAGCTATAGCTATAGATACAGATGGGACATGAACCAATTCAAAAAAATACACCGTTTTCCAATCGCATGAGATACCCGCCGGTAGATAAGCTCCCCTACTATGGGCATCACACCCCCTGATAAACCAGGCAGTAAAACTCCCTTTAGTGACCAATCAACCATCGTATATTCGATAGCTCATATATAGATAACATATCAATCGGGAATAGTGCCGTTTAACATCTTTTTTTTTTCTGGTTTCAGCTATTTGATCGTTGTTTTTACAGTCCTGAAAATATAACTAATGATCCCAACGTCACTTTTATATTTGCTCATCTGTGTTTCAGACATGTTCCAAGGAGTCTACCTACTGCTAACATGGACGATTGAAATTTGGACTCCTAAACTTACAGTACTTAGGTGGAACAGCAGAAGTGATAGCAAGAACATCTTGAGACCAGACTTTTCTGCTAAGTGATGTGGGTCATCAAGCGAGGAATCACCCCAGGACGAGTGGATGGAAGAAAGAGACTGGGTCTGGCCCCTGGTGACGAGAGACGGGCCATCTCATGGCAGTCTCATGTAAATCCCCCAAATATGTGTTCGTGGGGGGGTATTTGATGGAAGGGATTCTTTAACTATCACTTTGTCTGGATCTTTGATGACCTTTGGGGGTTTCTTCCCACTGCCACGCTTCATGGTCTCAGGAACAGTTTACTGACCCGCTGAGCTTGGAACCGTGGTTCTGGCGGAAATCCACCGAGGAAAACGCTGCATGGGATGCCATGGGATGTCGGAACATGAGAGAGACTTCGTGGCTAACTGTCCATGAAGAAAGTGCGATTCAGCGCAGAAAACAGTGGGTCAGGCTCTGAACAGAAAACTGCTTGGTGGTGGGTTTCGACCCTCATTACCCTCTGGTCAACTAACATAGCTATTGAAAATTGCCATTTATAGTGGATTTACCCATTAAACATGGTGATTTTCCATAGTTTTTTGTATGTTTACCAGAGGGTAACATTCGTGTCTACTGTTTTCGATCGGAGCTCACAGAACCATCAGAAACGGCTCAGGAGTACTTCTTCCCACGTCTTGTGAGAGAGTGGTCTGGAGACTCAGCAGTACTGTACCTGATGGTTGAAGATGATGGGATATGGGTATGGATCAATACCTATTAATACCATTCTTAGTGGGATGAACATCCATTTACCAGCTATTTTGGGGTTCACTAGGTACCAGGGTTTTGACCCATCCCCATGGTTGGAGATGATGGGATATATTACTGGACCGATTTGACCAGCTAAGAATCGGGATTGAGCCATCAATCAATGGTCGGATTCAAAGCCTGATTTTAAGGTTTGTCTCAAAGTGGGTGTCGAGGGCGGCCAAAAAAAAACACCGAAGCTTAAGAAGGTTTACCTGACAATGGGGAGCATACTCATAGATCTCATAGGATATATATATAATATTATACATGTATTATATGATGGATTATGGGGTCCTTAATACCAGGGATAACTATTATAAAGTTGTTTCAAACAAATCAACAACAAGTATAGTGGGGATGGCTTAAGCAGCAGCCATCATTTCTAGTGACTTGCTGAACTACAACGACCTCACCACGCTGTCACCGTAGATGAAATTTAGCAGGGGGACTCTCCCAGAATCAACGTATTTTCGGTTGGTGAATTATGAAAACTCAGCCAGAAATGCTGAACCTGCGCGGAAGTTCTGGATCCAGTATCTATTTCATTAGACAAACAACTTGTGGTGTCTTTGACTCTATTCCAACACTTGTAAAGATGTTTAGGAACCTAACAAAAAGATAGATAGAAAGCTAGTTCACCGCTATTTCATAATCGGATTTCGCTTTCCTGCATCTTTTTGAGGGTTGGTGTTTGACCCTCCAATCTCAAAATGGCAGCCTGCTGAGGCGGAAAGCCATTGACCCTAGCAGTGAAAGTGGTGTTTGGTGGTGTCATCAGGTGCCGGGTGGAGACATGGGGTGCCCAGTACCCAGTAACCATAGCCACAACATGCCCAGTACCAAGTAAGGTAACCGGGGGTTGTAAAGCCAATTTATAGCTTGAGTTACATCTTCCCCTCCAGCTTCACACGTAATAGCTGTGTCTGAAAATGAGGTCTACCCCACACATGCCCTGCAAAATGGAATTTTAAGAGGGGGCATGATGATTAATTGATTAACCAGTGGATTTTGGGGTACCCTATTTCCGCACAAACCAAAAATTATGTGGATTGGCTCAAAGGCAGTGGTAGGTGGGAAGAAAGTACTTGTAGAATCCAATCTTAAGAGTTGACAATTTGGAGCCACAGCCACATAGCTGCCACTTTGTCCATGCCTTTCGTGGAAAACATCTTATCGGTTAGGTGTCAGTATGAATCAAAAAATCAGACCAGACGGGGACCCGCCGAGACGGGGTCATGTCTAGAAGTTAAAATGTTTAAATCAATTTGGATCAATGTCAATGTATACAAATTATTATAACATACTATAAAACATATATAAACATATCATATTTTGCTGTTTTATTTCACTGCAAAATATGAGATGAACTGATAATGATTTCTGGTTGTTTAATGCCAAGTTCTTGGCTTCGACCGTCCCAAGACAAGAACTCCATCCCAAACTGAAATCTGGTGCCGTTATGTCGCAGGGCAAAAAGCGTTTCTTCAAACAGCCGAAGGTTCCTGAGCTGGAGGAGGCTGTCTTTTTTCCGGTTTAGGAACCCTGGAAAATACTTGGACATTATTCGTGCGTATAAATGGAAGATTATGCGGGTATAGTATAGTCATGGAAATACACCAATAGCCCAGAATTATCCTGATTTTGGGCGTATAAAGTGTAAGGACCTCACACCGACCCCAGCATAGATGCTTAGTAGGGGGCAGTTATCCAGAACTTGTCCACCTAGATAATCATTGTGATTTGAACAACTTGATGTCAGGTTACCATGCCAAAAACCGGCATGTGCAGCTGAGATGACTCCAGTGTGAAGAAACTATGACACGAAAGGAAGTGTGTGGTATGGCCACTAGAACCCATACATTTTACAAGGTGGTATGGCTTGCATCCGCCACGAGGATAGCAATGAACACTAGGATCTTCATTGACGGTGCCGCTAGGACCTGGCAACAGAGAATCCACAAGAAGCTCGACCTGTGATGCGTTGAGGGAACGGGGGGTGTCACCGGCGGGAAGGCCCTTGAGCTGGGCTTCCAGATGACAGTGCGATTGGGATTATCCCTGAAGACTGGTTCCATCGATAGTAAATGCTTAGGATATTGATGGCTATTGTATGTTCAAAGTTCATAATAATATGTCATGTATAGACACACGCACACATGCCATTGTCACCATCATGTTTTATGCAAAACATGAAATAACCAAGGATCCTGACTGTATGGATCACACCAGTAAACACTGACGGTCACTCACGGTCACTGATGGGCGGAATATTTTTCTTGGAAGGGAGAATTGTATCCTAGAAACTGCAGAGACGCAAACCGAACTTGAGAACAACCACTATCGTCTGCGACGTCAACTGTAGAACGCTTGATTGAGATTCTTCCATGTATCCGAGCCAGAAAACACGACAGTCAAGCTTCCACACAACCATAGATGGATAGGATCTAGACTCTGCTTCATGGGACATGAGTAGCCCCAAGCCTGACACGTGGGATACCGAAACGATGGGTTTCTTTACTGGAGATGACCAAGCAATGCTGTCGAGGGGCCCAGTTTTGGACCCTGGAAAGCAATCCAACCTGGTGACAGAGAATCAACCATTTCGAGATGATGTGCTTATCCCAGATGGTAATTTCATTTAATTTCCCATCTCAATTGTATGGATGTTTGCAATTTTCTTACTCCTGAATCCATATTTATTTAAACCATGCAATCTTGAGACCGACACACGTGTATATCAATTGTGAGTAATAACGTATAGACATAGACACATGCCTAGATACACATGCACACACACGGTCTATGTGTCATATGTGAAGGCCATGTGAAGACTTACAGAAATGTATGTGTATATGTATATATGTATGGAGTATATGTATATGCAGTACACATTCGGAGTATGTATAGATAATTATAGATATACATACATACAGAGCATTATAGGCACATATGCAAATGTAGGTGCATGTAATGCCACCGTACTCAAATCCGAGCTCAAGGGCTAGCTCGATCTGCAGGGCGCTCAGGGGCGCTGACGAGGACTTGTTTGGCTGGTTGGTGGTGTCCATTTTGATGTGGGACAAGCAGTACAACTTCTCAATGATTCGACCAGCCCGTTGAGTCCAGCTCCTGTGTTGCTGGAATCTGCTGCGCTGTGCGCAGCTCTGAGACGCTGTGTGCACCACATGTTAGCTCAAGGGAAAGGTGCGGCAGCCGCGCTGGTGGTTCGCAGTAGAGGATGGTGCCTCCAAATTTCTATATATTTTCAATGGCTCGTAGCTCCAAACTTGTGCAGACGTGGCAGAGGCACAAGTGATTCAAATTGGGGTAAGAGATTCGAGATGTGATCCGTTTGCCGCCTTCACAGTGGGCAGGGTTGCAGCAACTTTCTGGGATTCATGCAGCACTCTTCAACGTTTGTAATCGTAAATGATTCATAACCCTTCATATTCTCAGCCAACTGGTCTGCGAAGCGGCAAGAACAGTAAGGACGTTTTCAAGCTGGCATCTCCGTGATTTCGGTTGTGTCGGAGAACGGTATCTGGGTGGAGAAATGACTATCACGCTTGACAACACAGACTGGTTCAAACATGAATGTGGAGATCTTTATTCTTGCCATTGCATGTGCAACAGGACGACAGTGAAAGCGTTCCTTTGGGGGTTCCAATGAGGTTGTAATATCGCCTCCCAATGAGGTTGTACGAATTTTTGTGAGGTTGTAGCTGCTGTAGCTGAAATGTTACCGGTCACAAACCACACTTTCCCATCAAAGGAAAAGGCCATCTCCCTAATCGGAGGGGTTTTGCTCAATGTTGCTCTACGCATTGATCCAGGATGATCCATGATTCCTATGATGGGATGACCATACATCCCATGAGACTGGACCATTGGACCATGGCACATATCGTGACTCTGTAGTGCACGTATCATGGAGATGTCCTGCAACAAAGACTTGGAATTTTCCATGACCCGGTGTGCACCGCGTGCGATGGCAACAGAAGGTCGAGGTGCCGACTGTTTCGAGTTGGGACCATGGGCTGCTTCCACTTGTGAATCTCGTGATAAAGACTCATGGCCCATTCCCCTCTAAAATTCTGAAACTCAGGGATCGGTACCCTTAGGTCATATGGCTGCCTGGAGAATCCACGCTTTTAGAGGCTAGATCACCTATGGACACATATGGGTGATATTCGGTTACCAGGTTATATAGATTCCTGGAGGGTTTTTCCCCGGTTTAGGGAACTAAAAGTGGATGGAACTGCTGCCAGTTCACCAAACTGACTTAGCTGACTTAGCTGCTGGTTGCATTGGTTGGTCTGTGGCCAATGTATAAATTCGATGCGGCATTGCTGGATGTGGAATGATGATGACCATTGCGGGAGCAGTTTGTGATCTTTGATTCCGTCTGCGTAACTGACAGTAATGGGAATTGTCCTACCATGAGCTTACTTCAGTTTGGTCAACCATCGTCCGGTTGATGCTTTGAATCTTTGAACTTGTTATTTTCATTCCTGGGATCCAAACTGACCACTATTTTTCAGGGTTGAAACATGTTGAAGCCACCAGCATTTTGATGGTCATGGATGGCACCAACTACCCCCCCCCGAGGTGCCTGGCGGCCACTTCTAAGGCGCGGAGCAGGGCGGAGCATGCGGAGCATTGGTGCCATGGGAAAAGCGCGGCTGTGGATGGAAAATCTACAGGAAACCAGGTATTTTTTCCAAATTTGGGGTTCCAAATCAACTTTATCCAACCAATTTCTCTCCAATTCTTGGATTCAAAAAAGGCACAGCAGACATCTTGAGGGACACTTTGAACTCCGATTCATACACGCCAGAGGGAGATGGAAAATCCACTGTGGGAAGGCAATCTCAAGCGGAATCAAAACCTCCGTTGGTACAAGATTCCAGAGAGATAGAAATGATCGAATCATAGTATCATCATACAACTAGTTTCTTGCGAGCTCATTTGTTTACATCACTCCCGGCACTTTTCACATCAACCGAGAATGCTGTTGGTGAACCTCCCAGTCAGGATGAGCATCTTGCTGCTGTTGCTTCCGGCCTACCAGGAGCAGGGAGCGGCGCGTTTCCCCCATGAAATGTTTCGGTTCAAACACATGGGTTTGTCTGGAAATGGGGTATACATGGGTATACGGTATACCCCCAGTTACAGCCATTTAATGGGAGAAATAATGACTGACCGATGGATTTAGGGGTATCCTATTTTCAGACAGACCCACATGGAGGGATGATGACGACCAGTTGCTTGTTTTTGGATTCTTTGAAAGTGATGTAAATAGATGGGACATATTCTAGTCGAACATGTCTCTCCATATGTATATGTATATACTGTACATTTTTTTACACGATTCTACAAAGGCAAAAAAATGTCTTATCATGCTGAAAAAAAATACACTGCGCTGCACTACAAACACAAAAAAACCCACATGACCAGGCCTTTCTGGCACCTTTCGCTTCCAGCCGCCGTTTTGGACTCCGAACGCTGCGGCGAGCCGAGGATGCCGGCCTGAATGGTCTGGACGTTGTCTAAACAAGCTATGGGGTAATATGAACATAGCAGAATAATTAAGTTTGGTTGTTGAAAGTTGAAATAGGTCAGAAAGGTTTTGGCAATTTATTTTTCCGTTTCTGAAAGTTTCGTCTTGGAAAGAAATGCTTAAAACGTTCGTAGCTGTTGGTTGGAGGTGCGTACCCTCAGTCACCTCAATCAGGATTATCTTTCCAGGCGTGCATTCACTTGGTTTTGAGTTGTTCTTCAAACTTGACAGGATATGATACTGCCAAATTGTGCCAGTTTCATCTCGTTGAATCATGCTCACAAATTCGACCTGTTCAGTATTTACTCAGGTAATCCCAAAATTTGAAGACATTTTGATTATTTACCCAAAGAGGTTGTGCAAATCCACATCTGAAACTTATGAAAAGGTTTATAATATTGTTATAGCAGTAAATTGGACCATAAATGGCGGCTTAATGAACGATAAACAGGCAACAAACAAAGAGTTATCTAGCAGAGATGATTCATTAGATGGGTTTGTCTGAGAATCGGAGGATGACTAGGCGAGGTACTTTGGTCGGCAAGATGATGATACACCATCAAATCGGAGGGTGCCCTGTGTTCAGAAAAGCCCATATACCCCAAAACATTGCTGTTGATAGCTAACAAATATGATATATAATACGTTTTGCTATGTTTTATTCCTGAAACTGGCGACAACTCATGTACCAAATTTAATTTGGGTGAGTTAAGTTGCAGAAGCTCCAAGAGTAACCTGGGGGGTATGGCTATGTGGCGGTGACAGAACCAATCATAAATGTCCCATTGGTTCATCGATTGATCGGACTGCCCCGTATAAATTATGGTGGTAGCCGGTAGACAATCCAACCTCGCAGTTTGAATGTCCTCTATTTATAGATGAGTTCCCTATTCCATTTCAAGAGTTGAGAATGTTGAGATGTTCAAAATGTTCAATTCCAAATTTGGAGCACCAGAGGGTACCTGTTTGAAGAGTTCCAATATGAGGGTATTACTATGCTTTTGTCATTCTGACATCAATTTTTCCAAACAGATGTAGCAAACCCAGTAGTAGACCTAGCATTTGTGGATGGTTTATACAATCATATTGGGGATGATTTGTAGTTGGGTTTGCCAATTGGGTATCCCAGACAAGCTGGTTTTATTCCAACAAGATGGTCGGAGGAGAGTGGCCCTGTGGGGGATTGGGTGGAATGCTCCATTGCGTGACTTGGAGGATGAGAAAACTTTGGAAAATGCCACGGTTTTGGAAATCCATGTGCCTATGAAATTGAACCAGTTTTTTATTGCAAAAAAGAGGGTACGGCATGCTGACCTATTATTTGGGATATCCAGAATAGGGTGTACCTATTGAAATCTTTTTTTGGGGCATGCTGTTATTTTGGTATTATCCCATTTCTGGACACATCTGGCTGACTGGGCTGCTTGCAAGTCTGGAAGAGAAGCAACTTTGGATTTTGAAGCTCCAAACTTATGCCAAGTTAAAAGTCCCAACGACACAGCTGGTTGAATGGGTTGAATGTCTACCTGCCGTAACTTCGGTGCAACAGTTTAGCCCACCATCGTCCGAGGTATACGCCCCGAGTTTCCATGCACCATTCCCGTGTGGAGCCGCGACGTGAAGATGCTTGGTGAAGAGAAGAGCAGTGCAAAAGCTGTCGCAGTTGCGGCTTTCTGAAAAGTATGTGATATTTCAAAACGGCGCGTGGCGCTAAAAATTATGTCCGACATTGTTGTTTGTGCAAGAGCTTTGAATGTTTGCAGCTGATTCATGAAAAAACGCTAAACAGAAACTACATAAACACAGCACAAGAACGGAAACAACGAAGAACAGGAGAACTGCTAAAGTCAAGAACCGTGGTGGTCTGACAGCCACATTTAACACCGGCAAAGAAAAGAGAGAGTGAGAGAGAAAGACAGAAAGACCGAAAGACGGAAAGACAGCAAGACAGCATGACAAAAGACAGAAAAGCAGAAAGAAAGACAGACAGCAAGAAAGAGAGAAAGGAAGGAAAACAGAAAGAAAAACAGAAAGGACGGAAAACAGAAAGAAAGAGAAGAAAGAAACAATCAATAAAGAAAGAAACACATAAAGAAAGGAAGGAAGAAAGAAAGAAAGAACGAACAATGGACACAGAAAGAGAGAGAGAGAGAGGAACTACTCGTTTGACTTCACGCAGGCGCGGTTGGAAATTTAAAGCTTCAATGAAGCAGGTCGAATCCCGGGCCATGAGGAGCTCCTCTACTTACTTCCACTTTGCGGAAGTGTTCAAATCTCCGATGCTGGTTTTGCCAGCGAAGGGCCAGTCGGTCTCGCAGGGCATACGGAGACGCCATGGAGGGCGCCGGACAGGGCGTCAGTCAGTGTACCCTTCTCCGAAGCGGGTCCCTCAGAAGTGGCACCCTGATCCAGGGATAAACAGAAAGACATGCAACAAGAGACATCTTCAAAGGGATAATGCCAACACTGTGTTGACGGGGAGTATACTGTACATGACAATGCAACAACAACAACAACAACAACACCACCAGCAGCAGCAGCAGCAACAACAACAAAAGCAGCAACAACAGCAACAGCAGCAACAGCAGCAACAGCAGCAACAACAGCAACAGCAGCAGCAGCAACAGCAGCAACAGCAGCAACAGCAACAACACCAACAACACCAACACCAACACCAACACCACCAACACTAATACCAACAGCAACAGCAGCAGCAGCAGCAACAACAGCAACAGCAGCAACAACAACAACAACAACAACCACAACGACGACGGCAATGCGAGCCCGGCAAGAGTTTCCAAGCAGAGTGAAAAGAACTTGTAGAGAGGAAATCGATTGACACGAACCCGTGCAAGATCTCCTTACATGCGTAGCTGGCCACTTGCACCGGAATCCCCCGCACAGCATGTCAGGAAACCGCGGGAAATAGCTTGGGGGAAGCTCCGTTGGGAAGGAGCGGGACGGAAGCGTATAGACTATAGACATCGTGGACGGACAGGATGTGGGAAACAGCTTGGGGAAAGCTCTGTCGGGAGGGAGACGGAAGTGTGCAAGGACAGCAAAGGGAATCAGACAAGATAGTCATAGAAGCAGCGTAAGATCTGACAAGATTGTTTGTAAGTCCCAAAGCGCAGCTTGCAAAAACTTTTACGCAAGCACCTTGCCGGGATACCTGCAAGATCTTGACGCAGGGACCTTGAGAAGACTCAGTAAGGACCTCGGCAAGACTTGTCTTGCAAACTGCCAAACGAAATTCAATCATCAATATTGAAAAATTACGAAGTTACCGTGGAAACCAGTTTCCCCAGGGGTTTCTCCAGAAGCATCTGCTTACAGCCTGCTACAAGCACCTTCAACGTGATACCCTCAAGATCTTCGCAGAAGGACTCCACTGGAATTATCTTTGCATCTGAAACGGTTTCATTCACATTTCCAGAAACGCCTTGGAAGATGGTGTTCGTTTGCGCAGCAGGGTTGAGCAGTCCCGCAAATGGCCCTAAAGATGGAGCCTGATGAACATTGATGAACGAGGTAGGGCGATTTTTTGTCATCAAATTGGGCGAGTCAGAGCACTTTGTACTCCTCGAGCCCCACCTTTTTGGACGTGACAGACTGTGAATAGAAACTGCACCGTCACAGAGGTCCCTTGGATTTGCAGCAGGCCCATGGAGATCCATGGGTCTGAACTTAGGATACCCCAATAGGCCCCAATGTTCCATGTTTTCGAATTCAATTTTGGAGTTTTTAGGACATTTCAGGAACATACCCCATGTTTGGACAAACCCCTACAACCATTGAGAGGAGTTGGCCCCTCAGGATGTCTACATCTTTCACAAGCGCCAGCTGAAAGAAGACTTCGGGCATCTATATGCCAAGCTGGGCTTTACCATCCAGGCGGCACTGTAGATGCAGCAAGTGGCACGGGGGTTGAAACAACAAAGAGTGGGAGCTGGACACAGTGGGGGTTCAAACGTTCTACTTACTACCATGGTAATCCATCACACACGCATACATATTCTGTTGTATTTTCATTAGAATAGAATACAGAAGTTGATTGGCAAGTATACATGATTCAGTATTCATTGAATACTATATATCATTTGATAAAAACATGTGTGTTACTTCACTTTTTCAAATACACAAAACCTATCTGGCATGTAGGCATGTAAATATTGTAAATCAATATGTAGATAGATTGTACATTTTTTAACATATATATACATATATAGATGTACGTATGTATTTTTTGTATATAATATATTTTATAGGCACACGTGTATTTACTGTATGATATATATATATGCAAATATTCAATGTACCATATAGTTTCTGGCTAAATATGATTTAGATAAGCTATAAACACAAATAAAAACACCAGTTTAGTTCTAAAATACATCAGCTTACAAATATATATATATAATATGTATTGATTTCTGCACATGTACTGTCCATATTGTCTATTTATATATTCAAATCTGAGACACACACACACACATATATATATATGCACATACATGAAAAAAAAACAGTGCACAGGAGTTGCCACAATTATAGAACGGAACAAACGTACGGTAAAATACCGTACTTTCGTACCGCTCCGGATCCCGATTCCGCGCGGATTCGGATCCTGTTCTATAATTAATTTTTGGCTGTTCTATAATTAATTTGTGCTTCTCGACTTCCAAAGAATATGGCCGTATATGGTACAGTACATAGACTCGGTCCTCAAATTCCCATTGAAACCACCGGCAGCACGCAGATTGTGTGAGTCTTGGAGGTTACTTACATGTATTTACATCATTTTATGTACAGTATCTTTCTGGGACCCCGGAAGAATGTACATAGAAACCAGAATTGACTATCCAGCAGAACAGGGGGTTTGGACTAAATATTTAATACACAAAGCATGGCGGCCTTCACCGACAAACAGTTTCGAAAATAGGGTTGAGTTACAGTAAACTGCAGTTTTGACAATAGACACTTTTCTGAATCAGCAAAAACAAAGCAAATTGCAGTGACGCTTGGCAATACAAGTGCATTTGAGCCATACGCTGCCACATCTGGGCTCAAGAAGTCAGTTGTTTCGGTGATTCGCCGGTTGTCCCATGGAGGACCAACGTGTGCATACTCTGTTTGATGCGATTACACATAGCCACTGGGTGGCGCCAACTGATTTTATCGGTTGTTTTTTTTTTTCTTCGGAGGTTGTTGTAACATGTTTTTCCCTTTCAGTTCAACCGTCAATTTTTTTTGTTTTGCCTGTTTCGCTCCAACCTTCGGTGGGGTTCATGTCCAAGTGCTCCCACTTGTGGAACAACGGACCAATGGACCGCCAAAACCATAAAATCCCATGATTTCATCCAAAAAGTGATCTCCAACAACAAGGGTCTTATTAATAGACTATTAACAACCAACAGCCAACAACCATTAAGGGTCTTATTAACCATCCATTCTCCGAAAATCACCCAAAATGGGTGATTTTTCTCACCGCTGCGGAACCGCTGAGGCGACTTGGCGTGGCTCAAGACGACCTTTGCCGAATCCTTTGACTTCGACTTCAACTGCTTCAACCCAGCGAACAACCCATTGTCCCTTGGGCTTGGGTGCAGCCGCTGACCATTGAGAAATGGGATGAAAAGGAAGGGTTTGAATTATGAACCTTCGGGGTCGGTTGTGTCTGGTTGTATTCTCTTTTTGGGAAGCTGGTCGCTTTCCTTTTTCCGGTGCATAAGGGGGTTCTTTTGGCCCGTCACCTTGGCATAGCCGCTGAATCTCAGGTTGGGTTGCACAGCGCTTCAGTGCGTGGTGGCGTGCTTTCTCGGGACCGACAATGAGGAGGTAGAGAAGGAGGCGCTGAAGATCGCCAGTTGGCTGGTGAAACGGGGAGCCATGGCAGGCCGATGGCAAGCGTGGAGTTAGGGTATCAGGATCTCACCACGGAACAGGTTCCTCAGTGACTGGTCAGGTGCTCACTCTAAAGCTATACCCCCATTCATCAGGGCAGATGCTTCCGTTTATATCCTGGCCGTTTTCAGACACCCATTATTAAGGCAGTGGATGCGAAGACCCGATTAAGGAGAGGCTGTTGGCCCCGTGATAGGAACCCAAAACCGGATCAGGAAAGGAAACTATGCATTGATTTTCAACATGTTACGATATATTACGCAATCGGATTCGTTTCAGGTCTATAGTACCCTACATGACCCTCTCCCCTTTTGAAGACGGTTTGCCAGGTAACCTGGTGGTTGTTTTAACATGTTTTTTCTGTTGAATCTCTGTCCGTTAAGATTATCCTAGCCCAGTTGACCAAACTTTATCTGTTGAAGTGATTACAACTTTAACTTGCAATGTCAACTCCTGATCAACACACCCTGGATGACCTGGACATTAGACTTGTTATATCTACAAATTAAGAGTCAACCACAAAGAGTGACAAGTGGCTATGAATATGGAACCTGCAAAATCATACATACACATCCAGTAGCTAAAAACAGAGTCTAATACAAACAAATGATGTATATATATATATACATATGTATATATATATATACACACACATTTTTGTATCATGGCTTTCCCTTGCACAGAACCTCCTCAAAAAACCATGGGAGTGCTCAGGAGCAGATCCCAATCTCCGGTGCCGTCGTGAATTTCCACAAGCTAGAGACTGGATGTCCATTTTCCTGGAAAAACAGGATGACCATCCTTTGGGGTTTAGAATTGGGTATGCCGTATGCCTCTATTCTGAGCCATAGCAGATGAAGATTCAATCCTGAGATACCCTGAGTCTCACGGAGAAATGCCTTTCCATGTCTTAGGATTTGTTGAATTTGCCATTTCCCACACATTTGAAATATGGATTGTGGGAAGAAAGACTCTGCAACCTGTTAACCTTTCTTTCCTTTCTGGTGATCAGGAAACCCGTGATTCAGGTGGCATGACCATCAGGGTTTTGTTATATATCCCAATAACATGACAAATACATATATATATATATACAAATATACATGTACATATAAGTACACAGACACGTACAGATACACATATACATATACATACATAATATATATATGACCCTGTAGGTCACCAAAATCACAGCTGACCCTCTCCAATATTCTGGTTGGTGGTCTCAAATTTCTATCATTTTTGGAATGATGACCCTCCATTGATTTCGTTGGAACGCCCAATACAAAACGAGGGTTTCTGGGTGAGTACTTTCTGGTATTTTGTTATTCTTGCTGTTGACCCACCAAAGTGGATTTTTCATAAAATGACCAATTAACACTATAAATAAGATAAATCCGTATACCACATCCCAGCAAAATGTGGTTTGATCCCAACAAACATGTTTTTTTCTCCCTTCCTACATGAACCACCCAGTGCTCCGCAGGATCACAGTGACATCCGCTATGCGGTGGCTGGGCACTCGGCCTATTCCATGCTGGCGCAGGTGCAACGAGATATGCGCACCTCGAAGTATGCCGAGAACTGGGCGCCATACTTAAGGACAGGCAGTGGGAAGTATGGCAGATAAAGATGTTGTATGGGTTTACTAACCATGATTACTAAGGGGATATTCATGGTATATGAATGGGATATGAGTAGTGCGAAACTAATGGGAGCATAGTGTGAAATTAATGGGAAAATGGCTCCCAAATGTCGTTTCTAGTCAAGAGTTGAGGCCGCCACCATGAGAAAATGGCATGTGATTTGGGACCAAGATTAGATGGTCTCATTCAAACACGTAACTTTACCGTTCCAACATCCACCCCCCTTTAACCCTGGAATATTTGGGGGGTAAGGCAAGAAATTTCTGAGAAATATTTCGCCCAACCCCGACCACATCCACCGGTGCCCGCTGATGCATAATTGACAGCGCTAAGATTTTCTATTGCCTTATTCTACCGTATATAAACCAGAAATATCTAGCCGAAATATTTCTGGGTGGGGAGGGGGGGTAACCCTTTGGTGAGATTTATCTGACTGTCAGCAGCCCGCAGAGCCAACATTGGACAGTTTAGTGTACAACTCGGGCTCGGCCCCGCCTGCGGCAACCAACCGTTCCAGGAAACTGCAAAATCTCATGAGTACTTTAGCCTTGACGAAGCCGGAAACAACCACAGTTGCTGGGTGCTATGAACAGCGTCAGCTTTTTTTTCTCCGTTCTGCGAAGTGGTGTGTGAGGAAAAGAAGGGTTGCCAACTCCGAGTTCACCTTTGTAGAGAATTGAGAGCCACACTGTTGGCATTTTTCGTGGTTCATTTTTTAGGTGTAGCCTTTCCAGCCCAAGGTGTCCATGAATCCTTTGGTCTTGGATGTCTGGGAGAAGTTTAGTGCTGACAAGCAATGGCACGATTTGGTTGTCCAGGGAATCGACGGTGAGGCCTGAGGGTTGTGCAGGAATCAGTTGAGGAATAGCAGGTCTCGTTCTGACATGGGTTTGTTTGAAAACATGGCGCCCTCAAATCCCACAGAATTTTTCTTCCAATAATTTCCCTTTAAATCGCAAGTTTGGGATATTTTTCTCCTGGCAGGATGTTGCCGAGCTGTGAATGAAAGCTCTACATTCCTCAATTTTGATGTCAACCATCACCAAATCAACAAAATAAGGTCACAACATCAATCAACATCGAATCCCCCACCACACAATGCCCCAAAAAAGGGAGAGAAACCCATAGCATCTGGTGAGTTCTGAAAAAAAACACTGAGTTCTCCTGGTTTTCCTCAGGTCACAGCGCATGCGGCCTTCGTTGCTTGTGTGTCGCCCGTGGTGGCCTCCATGTTGGCGTCCAATATGAAGGAAGCGAGCAGCAAACGCATCGAAGTAGACGTCTCCAAGAAGGACGGGACATGGGCATGGGTCAAGCCATTGAAGTCCCAGGGGACCACAGATTTTAGCCGATTTTTAGTATTAATCGTCCATCATTCCATCATCCACTTATAGGGGTACCAAATTTTGACCATACCCAGATGGATGGGACATGGGTAAATGCTGGGGTTAGTTACAATATTGGCCAGGACATATTTGGTGATGGGATAATGATCTAATGGGTTGCGTCTGAAAATGAGGTACATCCTCAAATAGCTGCTTTGAACAGTGATAGTGAGGACAAACCAACGGATTCTTGAAAGAATCATGGGGATCCGACCAATCATATATTCATGGGGGTTAAATCGGGGGGGAAGATCCAGCCAATAGGGATATAGCATGACATAACTAACATCCGAAGATGGTAATCTTTTGCAGGGATTAGATAGGATTCATGGGGATTAAATGGGGGGTAAATGGTGAATGGAGGGGTAAATGGATGGTTTAATGAGGATGGGAAACGGAAATGTATACCAATGGCCGGGGCATATGTGTTCTTTTCCATCAAATGGGATGCCGATCCCCATTGGTTCCGAACCAGGATGGGGAGATGGTTGGCCATTGTGAACAGGGAAAGCTGTGGTGATAAGGGGTCCCCCCATAGGAACATCCCCAAATGTGGAATATAACCAACAAATGTGGATGCTGTATAAGATGAAATAAGAAATTAAACCATGACATACAATGGGATATCAATGGCAATTTAATTTAACTAAAAAACAAACTTTATACAGTTTACCAATCAATCATGCTTGATGGGGATATTTCATGGGATATCATATGTCCAGCTATATGAGATAACATGGCGGAGATGGGTTTGCCTGCATCATCATGGTCCCCATGCAAACGGCCATTTGGGGTATCCACCATCTGGGGGTGTCTAAAACCCAAGTAACCCAAGTATATACATATATATATACACAGTATATATATAATACATATGTTAAAGCTAATAGTATCCCATGAATATCTCGATGTATCCCTATTGTATTCCCAAATTCGTTTCTGTTATCCACATGAAATCCCTGTGAAATCTCCCTATTCCTGGCGGATTTCTTGGCCAGGCCCTGTCCTTCCTCTTGGAATTGCTCTACACCGGCTGCAGCAGCAAGGCATTTTGCACCAGGCGCGGGACGACGTAGGAAGGACCCCATGAATTATATATATATGTATATATGCACATACAAGCATATATGTGTATGTATTATGTATATATATATTACTCACATATATATATATATATGTTATTCATATATATATATATATATTACTCATTCATATATATATATATATATTATTCATATATATATATATATTATTGATATATATATATTATTCACATATATATATTATTCATATATATATATATATTATTCATATATATATATTATTCATATATATATTATTCACATATATATATATTATATTGTATTATATTATATTATATTGTATTATATATATTATATTATATATATTATATAATATATATTATATTATATTATATTATATTATATTATATTATATCATATCATATCATATCATATCATATCATATCATATTGTATTGTATTGTATTGTATTGTATTATATTATATATACATACATGTAATGTATCACAAAAATATACATGCAAGTATGTATGTATATATACTTAAACGGTTTGGGTTTGGACAGTTATTGGTTTCTGGGTTTGGACAGTTATTGGTTTCTGGCCTCTAGGCTCTCTACATAGCGAAGCATGGTCCAGCTACGTGTATGAGTCGAAATGGAACACCTCCATACTCCACAGATCTTTTGGTCACCCTTCAAATCAAAAGACTTCGATACAACATGGAAACTCTTGGATTCCATGCCCAACATCTTCCGGAAATAGTCTCGCCCAAACATTTACCTCCCAAACCTATGAACTTAAAATGGAATGGCAAAAAGCACCCCTGCAGGATTCAGTTTCCCATAGAAACGGGCGATTTGTCTATTCACCTTTGGATGTTTTGACATGTCTCAGGACCATGAAACGCAGCCATTGAAACACCAGCGTGTGCAGTCACAGGTCTTTCGGACTTCAAACCTTGGACCTGGCACATCGCTGGCAGATTGATCATGTGGGCCCAAGGGATCTGGGGCCCATGGGGTGTGGGAAAATGCTGTAGGAAGTACTGTGGGATCCATCCGTTGTGCCATAAAGCTACCATGACTGGGGAGTTAATTTTTGGGTTTACCACATGAGTATGGATCAGATCGATTCAGACCGATACACAGCCTGTTGGGCACAGAATCCAAGAGGTTCCATGTTATATTACCATGCAAAAGCCACCAGTTGCATCAAGTGCCTCTCACATTGCTTGACACTTTCCAATCGTTTGGCTGTTTTCAGGTCCCAAAGAGAAAATGACAGGGTCCACCGCCATCGCCTTGCCCCAGGGGTAGCCACGGGTATCCCTGCAGGTGGTAGAGATGCTGCAGAATCCATTGGCACAGCACCTTTCTGTGGAAAACTTTCCTGAGGTGGCAGAGAGTGCTGTGTTACCTGACAGACCTGGCAGATGATGCGACTGTTTTGTCAGGATTTTTGATGGAGGTTTGGCGGCTGGTGGCGACAATCCAAAGTTGGGAAAATATGGGAGAACTCATCGATAAATCATGATACATCTATAAATGGGTGCGTTCCTCTGCCGGGCTTCAATTACTGGTACTTGGATGGTTTGATGGGTGATTGGATGGTTGGTGGGCTTGCTGTGGTTATTGGTTCACTGAGCCACTGAGGCTTAAAGATTTGCAAAAGCTGAAGATGGCTTGCCGCAATTTCGCTTTTGAACATCCTGCATCTCGGCAAAACAGCCTGGGAGCTTTGGCTGTTCACTTTTCCGGTCATTTTGACCCTGGAAATGCGATATGACTACCCAGACCCCAACCACAAAATGAGGCCATTGTAGTTAGTAGATGTTAGTAGCGTTACATTTGCGGTATGCAAAAAAAGACCTCCGCACCGATATCCCATGATGGCTCTGCGCCCCTCGATCTGTGTCATCCACTGGCTATACAGCGCTGAGGAAGTGATGTCTGACGATTTGCCACAGGCAGTTCAAGAGTGGCTCCAGTTGCGCAAGCCAGCGAGGGTCAACAAGAAGCAACGCATCTTTTACTAGCCACCCGTGCAAAGACTGTTGCGGGTATCCCTGCATCTGCAGCCAAAATGTTTCCTTGTACCAGTATAGTATAGCCACTGCTATTGTGGATTCGCACCGCTTTCTGAACATGAGAAACGTGCTTTGATAATTTGAAGCAGCGGAAGTGTTTCAATGTGAGCATTGACAAATGAAGTATATAGCCACCAATGGGGACATGATGAAATGCCCTGTTGTGATTTGTCATGAATTCACCATCTTCCACCTGCGGTGCAACCGCCGCGGACGTCTGGTTCCAAAATCGCGGCACGCAGGCTTATTGCGTCCAGACAAGTTCTCACTTTAGCTCAAAAGGAGCCAGGGTGGAAGTGAACTCTGTAAAGAATAGGATGTGAGTCGAAATGATGCCAATATTTCTTTGGAAAATAGCTGCAGCTGCAGCTGTGGTCGGGTTCTTAACCTGGGCCCTTTTGGATGGCTATTACTACAACGCAGATGGGTCAAGACCCGTGAATCTTGGATGTTGACCAATGCCCATTTGACAGATCGCATCGATGTCTTAATCCATTTTCCACAAGATGGTGGAGTCATGTGGAATCTTAACACCCCTCCACAATTTGGATCATCAATGGTAGATTTTTGCGCGATTCACCATTTGAGAGAGGGCTTCATCATGTTTCATCTGCATGTGGGTTGAAATTGGGGGCCCAATATGGCCCAATCACACAAATGTGCTATCTTCTTTTTTTTGGTGCCAAGATCATCCAAAGATGTGGTGAATCCTATGCTGACCCTGCGGCAATGCCAGGGCCTCATCTATGATGATATCAAGACAGTGTGCCGCGAGCCAGACGCTTGGCATAGAAACATCATGAAACACATCTGCTTTTA